CACAAGAGTCTTATCCCCATCTCCTTTCACCAGTTCTATCTAGACAGGTTGAAAACCACTCAGTGGAGACTCTACCTTCCCCCGCACCCTCTGAAACTAAACTCCCTCTTGAAAGCTTATAAGCCAGTTACTTCGTGCCTTTATAGCCCTCCCCCCCCACCCCAATTTAGGTAACCAATGTCTAAGTTGCCCATCCCTAGCAACCCTGTGTACAGAGGGGATGCTGTGAAGATTCAGTCTCTCTTGGTTGGTATTTTAAGTTACTACATCCATAAGTATAGGTCAAGTTCATCAAATTGTAGCAAATTATACTTGTTTTCTTTTAAAAAATTTTTAAGTGTTTTTTTTTTTTTCCCCCCGCCTTTTCTTTCTCCCTCTAGTCGCGTTCTGATCATCCAGCCATTGAAGCTGTGTCAAATGGGTACTATCTGCAAGTATGGGTGTTCTTGTGCATCTCCCCTCACTTCATATGAGCTGAATGCTTCACTCTCCGCTCTATCCCTCTGTGGTTATGTCCTTGTCCATGGACTCAGGAGTCCCCAGGTCTCACCATACTGCTGGCCAACCAGCTCACACTCCAGGTTGACAGGAGTCTATTGAACGTGGTCAGACTCAGCCCACATCTTCATTGCTGCTTTCCCCCCACTTCCCCCTCATCAGTAGACTAATGTGGTCACTAGCAAGATTACATGCCTGCTGTGTACTCCCTTTGAGTTTTAGTCTTGGAAGGGGGTTGCCCTGAAGGTACTTGATTGCTTGCCTTGATGGCTTCCCTGTGGACAACTTGCTTGTTCTATGGTAGTCGATCAGACTGCCTTTTTTGATTTTGATTTTTCCTGCTGGTCTTTCTTTCAAGAAGTATCTACTGTTCCTCTAGCCACTCCAGGCTGGTCTGCTTGTCTTTTCAAGTGGAAATTTCCCACCTCAGAAGATTCTGGATGGGGATCAGGATTCCACCTCAGATTTTATATACTAAAAAAGCTCTGCAGGAAGCCTCTTTCACTGGGCAAGTTCTAGCACCCCTTTTAGGTATTCCAATCAATTATAGGCTGAATCAATAAGTACTTTAACTCCTCTTCACCTTCAGCAAACAAGGTTGTATCATCTGCATATCGCAGGTTGTTAATGAGTCTTCATCCAATCCTGATGCCACATTTTCTTTATATAATCCAGCTTGGGGATTATTTGCTTCGCATACAGATAGAATAAGTATCATGAAAGAATGCAACTGTAACACACACCTTTCCTAATTTTAAACCATTTGGTGTTCCCTTGTTCTTTTTGAACAACTACTTCTTTGTCTATATATAGGTTCTTCATGAGCACAATTGAGTGCCCTGGAATACTCATTCTCCTCAATGTTGTCCATAGCTTGTCAAGATCCACACAATAGAAAACCTTTGTGTAGTTACTAAAGCACAGGTAAACATCTTTCTGGTATTCTCTGATTTCAGCCAAGATCCATCTGGTATCCCTCATTCCACATCTTCTTCTGAATCTGACTTGAACCTCTGGAAGTTCTCTGTTAATGTATGGTTGCAGCCATTTTTATTTTATCTTTAGCAAAATTTTACTTGAATGGGATATTAATGATATTGTTCCATGATTTCCACATCCCATTGGTTCGCCTCACTTTGGAATGAGCACAAATAATGGATTTCTTCAGTCAGTTGACCAGGTAGCTGTCTTCCAAATTTCTTGGCATAGACAAGTGAGTGCCAGTTTGTATCAGTTTGTTGAAATACTTCAATTTGCATTCCATCAGTTCCCAGTTCCTTGTTCTTTGCTAACTCCTTCAATTCACCTTGAATTTCTCCCTTCAGGATCATTGGCTCTTGAAATGGTTGGATATTGATTGTTTCTCTTTGGTACAGTGACTCTTTGTCATCTTTTTTTGATGCTGTCTGCATTTCTTAATATTTTGTCCATTGAATATTTCAACATTGCAACTCGAGGCTTGGATTTTTTTCATCAGTTCC